AACTAACCGATCTTATTTCACTTTACCTGGCGATTTTCAGCATTCTACTACGCCTGATCACGTTAAAAAGGCAAATCCTAACGCGAGGCATCGATTTTATTTTGATCTAGATCCTAAGAAAAAGAAAATGTCAAATCTTGAATTGGAAATGAATATCGATAGAAATAATCTGATATGGAAACTTTAGCACCATCTAGCGAATTTACCTCAATGTGACATCTTTTGTAACAATATGAAGCAATGATGCATCTTTTTTTTATTTGTCACACGTCATAAAGAAGCAAAAAGAATAATCTCGAAATTAGCATCACTTAGGTTGGTATAGATGTATTTTTCGGGATCCCTTATTTTCATGTGTTCAGTTGTTTCTTTCGGCAAAATAATAATGGCAGTAGTAACAATGGCCAAATTTGTTTTTGAAAAGACGGCAAATTTAATTTTTATGGGATATCGATCGATATTCGACATAAACAAATAATAAGATTGATTGCGCAGTATGGAATATAAAAAACCCCGAAACCCGACTCTAGGATATTCTTTTCGTCACCACCTGATTATTCTACAGCGGGAAATTTTTTCAATCACACACGATTTTTTTTATTAATAATCAATGCGTTTGTTTTAGTATGACTTGGATAAGCTACATGCATTAGAAATAACACCTTCCCTTTTTAAATAACTTATTGATTGTTATTTTTCATAACAATTATTATTTACTATTATGTTTATTTACTTCATCTTTTTTTGATTAAAATTCCTCAATAAGTTACTGCCATCCCATTCTTTTTTCCCCGATAATTAACCCATTTGTTCATTTTTCACTTCTCGTGTGACATTCATTTTTTTTTTAATAATACCCATCAGAATTCTTTTAGTCGGTCTCGTTAGAGTTTACACACTTGCTCTAGTTAGGTAGAGAGAACTGTACTAGTTCTTGATAACTAAAAAGCACATGTCTCCTGAAATTACATGTTACATACGTAACCTTATCAATTAATAAAAAATTCGCCTGTCAAGTAGAAAAAGTGTCATTGTTCCTAGCATAATTATATGAAATTTGCTTGAACATATGTAAATTTGCTCGACGAGTATACAATACTAGTGTCAAACTACACCAACTTCACATCATGAATAATAGTATCATAACATATATTCAGCAAATTTCACAGCAATACCTCACGGAACCTATGGAAATCTTTAGACAATACATAATGTACCCGGCTACGATCCAACACAAAAAGTTAATGCACCACCACGTTTCGGTGTGGGAATCACTTTCAAATGTGGAAACTTTCTTTTTGGTTTTTTCTATTTTCTGCTGGGTGGTCATGATGGGATTTTCGATTCTTGGTCTTTTCGTGGCGTGAGTTTCGTTCCTAGTTTTTTATTTACTTGCATGTGTGTCATTGTATTAATTTTTTCTTTCATCAATTAGAAGGAAACGTTATGCTGCTCCTCGCAAATCGGTTTCTTCAAAATACACTGTTAAGAATGCACCTGGCGTAACGATCATACGACCACTAAAAGGTGTCGACTGTAATCTCTATAACAATTTACAGTCGTCTTTTCGCCAGGATTATCCAGTTTTCGAGATTCTACTCTCTGTAGCAAGCGAAAAAGACCCCGCAATTAAAGTAGTAAAGGAATTAATGGAACGCTATCCTGAAGTTGACGCTAGACTAATAATAGGTATTTATTTTTGTTAAGCAAGTGAAACTTTATCTTTTATCTCGTTTGCTATAACTAACTAATCGAATGTTTCGCTTGATAAATTAGCTAAACGTGATGTAGGCGTCAATCCAAAGATTAACAACATGATTACCTCCTATGAGTCAGCGAAATATGATATAATCTGGATTCTCGATTCAAATATCTTCGTCGAACCTGGCTGTCTTGCTCGTTCTGTGGAAAAATTGTCACTGCCTGGCGTTGGACTAGTTCATCACCTTCCCTTTGCCGTTCGTCCCGCCACTTTTGGCTCCGAATTGGAGATGATGTTTTTGGATACAGTCCACGCGAAAATGTATCTTGCTATCAATCTTCTTGGACCGGACAGTTGCGTCGTCGGTAAATCTAATTTATATAGAAAGAGCGACATTGAATCTATTGGTGGACTAGCTCAATTCGGTCAATACATAGCTGAGGATAATTTACTTGCACGTGCATTATGGCGAAAAGGATTCAAGCATGAGATGACTACTGATCTCGCTTATCAGCCGCTTGGCTCCATGGAAACTGCTGATTACTTTTTGCGACGCTCACGATGGACTCGTATCCGAAAGTATACAGTCACAGCAGCTACAGTTGTCGAACCTCTCACCGAATCAGTGATATGTGGGTTGATCGCATCCTATGGATTCAGTCTTCTTTGGCAAATACATCCTCTCAATTTCTTTGCTTTCCATATCATAACTTGGTTCATGCTCGACTTATCCTTGTTTCAAGCTCTTAGTGGAAAAAAAATCGAAGTGGAAGAATTGAGAGGATTTATTATGGCTTGGGCATTACGCGAAATCACTGCTCTACCACTCTATGTTTACTCAGTGATTGGCAATACCGTGGATTGGCGAGACGGAACATTCCGACTAATGACAAACTCCACTGTAGTGAAAATTCAATTGCCACCGCCTACTAACCGATCACATAAACGCAGCCTTTCTTTTCCATCCTTGAGGTTATCCACTCGACCGGTTGACTCTCGGAATTTTTCGCTTAATCCATGGGTGGTTGCATCCATTACTTCTGTTATTCTGGTTATTGATATAGTAATGGACGTTTTATTCAAAAGTGAAAGAAATGGAAAATCCCGTGAAACTGATTCCAATTCATTGTCATTAAAACCGATAGACAAGGAAGGTTCGAGACGACGACGAAGAAAGGCTATGCGTGGTGCTTCAGATGGTAGTCCAGGAGATGAAAAAAGCGGTAATGAAGACAGTAGTGCAGATGAACGAGATATGAAGAATCGTAGTGATCCAATTATACGAGCTGCCGGTAAATACTTACAAAGTTCGCTGAGCAAGACGAGTGTGCAACATTTTGATGTGCCTTACTATCATAATTCCGAAGATTCAGAGGAAGAACTTAATACTATTAATAATATTAAGGACAATAATAATTTGATGGACAATTCAGAAGCGGAAG